TAGATTTTATCATTTATACAAGAGGGGAAGGGTCATGATATTTTAGGTCAAGCTCAAGGGGAGGGTTAGCAAATTTCATTCCCATTGCAGGGATGGGTCACCTCATTTCCGAACCCAAATGTAAAATTCCCACCTCCCCTCCCCCCCTGCCTGCTAATTTCTGACAAGTCCCTTGGGAAGAGCACGAAACATTCAACAAATTTTATAAGCGTGTCCACGTGACAAGCTGAATGTAAAAAAACAGCTCGAGCAGACAAAAAACAGCCTTCAAGTTATTCCTATTATTGTTGTTGTTTCTTTTGATAAAGATATTGCTGCGATGAGTTTGTTGAATGTTTAGTGCTCTTCGTAAGGACACAGGAAATTAACAAGGGAATCAATCAACCATAAACAAACAATTTGAGACAACAATATCGTAACTCATATATCATCGTCTCTCTTCAAGTAAAGGAGTCCCGTAAACCGCGATAAGAGCCATTTGTGCGCGTGTTTGATCCCTAACTGATCTTTTGAATCACCTGTAGCTTTGGCATCACCAGGTCTTCCTCTTCTTCTCCGGATACACTTGAACCCTTCTACCTGTGCTTGAACCATGCAGTCATGCCGCTATCGCAAGACAACAAAGGAAGCATTCCTGTTTCTTGCACAGCCCACGACTTGACACCGCTTTGGTCATTCAACCCACCAAAGGAATAAAATGCCATCGTAAAATCATCCTGAAACAGATCACCTTCTAGAACTTGAACACACCTGATGTAACACACAAAAATATTCCCGCGAAACAGGGGAAGGATGGGACTGGAACTCGGTCCAATCCTCACACTCTCCAAGTCCAAAATGGCGGGTAGTGAATTTGATATAATAACAATTGCATCATCTCAGTGCAAGGCTTTGTTTGGGTTATTTTCCTTAAAAAAGCAACAAAAGCTTTTTGTTATCCAGCTCTCCTAACTGTGGATCGATGGTTTCTTTTTTTCAGCTCTAAAGGACTCGGAAAATCACAGTTCACCTCTATACCGCTCACTGATTCTCGTATATGTTTGTATAATCTATGTAAGTATGGTCATGCTCCTTTGCTGATGGGTATTTACAACAACTATTCAGGCTATTACAAGGTCAGACGAAGATTATATCTTAACGAACCTTTTGATAAGCTAAATTTATCTGGTAAAAATATAAAAAAAGATGGGCCTGACAAAATATGGAGACTTCACATGCTTGGAGTAATGCTTAGAAATATGACGCGAAACTGAATATAAATCAAAGAAAAATTTAAGCATCTTGTAGAAAGGTCGTTATATCTACGCCAGAACATCATCATTTGTGTTCCCATGGTGGTTGCTAGGTTTTCAAAGAATAAAATCACCTTTGTTTTGCTAAATTATGTGTTTTTTGTGCTAATCAGAGGCTCGTTTTATATCAATTTAAAGGTAAGAATCGGTGTATTTCTAAACAACGAACTGATTTAGCTTTGACAATTCATTTTCATTTACCAAATACACAATTAGGGCTTCTTGTCAACAATTTGGTTCGTTTATGGCCTGAATTATGCTCAAATTCCCGTTTTGCATCACCTTAGAGGGGCATGAAGTGTTTGTTCCAAAAATTCAATAAACCATAATAAGCAAATTTTTCTCAACTGATTTTGATAATTGGGTGACTAAAGTAAACAGTGGTATAGGTATGGACGTTATGCAAGAAGGCAGGTGAATATAGTGAAATTTTGAAAAATGGCTATTTTGGATTGTAATTTTAACATCAATTTTGACCAAACTCTCAGAGCCCCAGGCTCCTCTTTGTCCAATACCTTGAGGACAAAGTTACATGCCTGAACTGAAAGCTCCATTATATATAGTAGAGTTCATGGTCAAATTCATTTGCCAGCACAATGTACCAGTGGGGTCTTATCACACTTTCAAAATGCTGGATTTTTGGTGCTCAAAGGGCAAAAAATGAGACCCCCCTGTAACTCCAAAACTAAAAGTCAGAGAAGTGAGCCAAAGTGACTTTTGAAATATCACACCCAACTTCTGTGCCAAGTTTCAGCCAAATCGGTTGACCACAACTTTTGGCCCCTGGAACACTTTCTCAGACAATGACACTTAAAGCGCGGAAGACAATCAGTGAAAGGTTCCGGCAATTCTACTTTTTTACAAAAAGATCAAATCTGCAACTTGAAAAGAGCAGAAAAATTAACTTTATGCATTCATTTTTCGTAGAAAAAAATGCAAAATTGTTACCTTTTTTGTTAATGCTAGTCGATTAGGTGAAAAGTTAAAAAAGGTACGTTTTTAGAAAAAAAAGGCGGGTATTTTAAGCTTTCGAGTGAAAATATTTTTACGACAATATTGCCCACTTTTCATCCATTTCTCACTTTACCAAACGATGATTTAAAGCGCGAAAAAGGTACCTTTTTGTCGCTTTCAAGCGATCTCCTGAAAGGCACAAAAAGGTAGCTTTTTTGCAGTTGGAAGCGATGCTCTCAAAAGTGCGAAAGAAGTACCTTTTTTGCAATTGGAAGTGATGTTGTTAAAAGTTTAAAAAAGGTACCTTTTTTAAAAATATAAAATACTGTTTTCAAGCTTTTGGAAAGCCATTCGAAATCCTACTGATTGACATATGTCATCCGTTGGCACCTCAGTGAGCTTCAATGAACGATGCACAGACTTTTTTTACGGGATTCTAGGTGATCCTGTTAAAAATGAAATGATCTACAAGGGGAATCAGCGGAGCAAGAAAATTTAGCTCGCTTCTTTAAGCCAAGATCAAAAGCGACAAAATAGAAGAAATCCGAAAATACTAGTCACCAGCAAAATGGACAAAATGGCTCCTGAAAATGTTAGTAACAACTTCTGGTACTTTAGAAGCTCAGCAAGCGCAATTTTAAGCATGGAGCAAATACTTTAACCTGAAAGAAGTCCTACATGTAAAGCAAAGGTGTTCATTTTCCTTTAAGTCTAAACTAAGCGGGTTCCGAGCGGGTCATTTTAATATAACTGTCTTGTTTCCTGGGTGATGTTTTTCACTCCAGGGTTATTAAATTAGAGACTTCAGTTTGTTTGCTATGATATAAATTATATAATTAATTTAACTTCAGGTGCTTTTGGAACGAAAAAATGGAGCATTAAGGTAAAGCATTTTAGCGAGAAAACAAAAAAGCATTTTAGATGCACAAGACACTGGCCCGGCTTCTCTTCAGGTTACTTATAAATGACACCTGTCATTCATTGATAACCACTGAACCAGCGACAATGCTTCCATCTTCACTCCAACACTGAGCAAGATGGCTCACACCCATGCCAAAATCAAGCAAGGGGGATAGATTTTAAAACTGCGACCTGACACTGTACGTGTTACAGTGTCAAGCTCAGCAATTGGTTTCAAACTTGGCAAATAAACAGGGAATATTTATCTCTTGACTAGTGGATTAGTAAATTCAGACTAAAAATTCATAAAAATGACACCAAACAGTTGACATCTGTCAATCAGTAGGATTCTAAATGGCTTTCCATGTCTTGAAAACACTATTAAAGGTACCTTTTTCTCTCGCTTTTGAGATCATCACTTCCAACTGCCAAAAAGGTACCTTTTTCGCGCTTTTGAGAACATCGCTTCCAACTGCAAAAAAGGTACCTTTTTGTGCCTTTCATGAGATCGCCTTGAACCGAAAAAAAGGTACCTCTTTCGCGCTTTAAAACATCGTTTGGTAAAGTGGGAAATGGATGAAGAGCGGACAATATTGACGCAAAAAAAAAATTCACTCGAAAGCTGAAAATACCTGACTTCTTTTTCCAAAAAGGTACCTTTTCTTAACTTTTAACCTAAACGACAAGCATTAGACAAAAAGGTAACAATTTTGCATTTTGTTCTATGGAAAGTGAAATATGCAGAAACTTAGTTTTTGTGGTGTTTTTAACTAGCAGAGTTGACCTTTTTGTAAAAAAGTAAAATTGCCGGAATCTTTCCAACTGCAAAAAAGGTACCTTTTTGTGCCTTTTGTGAGATCACTTGAAAGCGACAAAAAGGTACCTCTTTCGCGCTTTAAATCATCGTTTGGTAAAGTGAGAAATGGATGAAGAGTGGACAATATTGACGTTAAAATATCATTCACTCGAAAGCTGAAAATACCTGACTTCTTTTTCAAAAAAGGTACCTTTTCATACCTTTTAACCTAAACCACAAATATAGACAAAAAAGGTAACAATTTTGCATTTTGTTCCACGGAAAATGAATGCAGAAACTCTGCTTTTCTGCTGTTTTTAACTAGCAGAGTTCATCTTTTTGTAAAAAAGTAGAATTGCCGGAATCTTTCACTGATTTCGCTCATTTTTGGCTCATCGATAACTATGGCGTTTCGTTGCGGACAAAAATAAACCTAAAAAAAAAGAAGTGACTTACCTGGAGAAATAAATAGTGATATTAAAAACATGTGCTCGAATAAGCAAAATGCTGCTTTAAAACAAAAAATAATGGTCCAGGATAATAAAAAAATGTGGTTTTAGATTTAAAAATAAAAGAATAAACCTAAAAAAATAAACCTAAAAAAAAAGATGACTGACTTGGAGAAATAAACGGTGAGATTAAAAGTGTGTGGTCGAGCAAATGAAATTTTGCTCCAAAAAACAATAATGGTCCACGATAATAAAAAAATTGTGGTTTTAGGTTTAAAAATTGCTGGAAAAATATGGCCAATACAAAAGTGCAGTGAAGCGGAAAAATTAACATCGAAAAAAAAAAAACTAGTCGAGAGGAAGCGGAAACTGATTAGCGCTTCAACCGGATGTAATAGGGCATATCCTTATATGGCATCACAGAAAGTGCTATTCTTAGAATTCTTAGAGAATTTCACCGCGCGGGAACTTCTAGGTGAGAATTTCCACAAGCTGCAAACAATGGCTGGCAACATGCAGCCTGCTAGTTCTGTACAAGAAATCGTCAACGCGGTCATCAACAACTTGAGCAACTTGCCGCGACAAGAAAATGCAGTTCAAACCGCAGCATCAAATGCTGACACCAGAAACGAGGTATCAGTGACTTCTGAACTGAACCGGGCCTTCCGAATACCACGCGCATCCACAAGCGCCACCGTGCAAGCGATTTTGCCGTCGACAGTGGCATCTATCAGGGCTGCTGCGAATAACTTTTCAGCGACTTCAAATTACGGAAGGACCGTAAGAGATTCAGGAAGACGAGGAGGGAGATCACGGTCCCACAATGGGCGATTTCAGCCATACCGCCCTCAGAGAAACCAAAGATTAACACGGGATGCGGCTGAACCAAGTGTGTTTTACAAAGACGTCTGTCTTCTCGATTGTCCTGAATGGGAGAAGGTTCCGCGTGGGGAAGTAAAGGCAGATTTGATCCGGAAAAACCTCTACATAGATGCGTGGCCAGTGGTTAAAGATTGGAGTGCGGCAACTTTGAGGCAGGAGATAGAGAATCTTTTTGAATGTGTTCTAAAAAACTCAAGTGGTAATAATGTGAGGTGAGCATTAAGACTTTAATAATAATACATGTAATAATAATAATAATAATAATAATAATAATAATAAAATGTGTGTATTTTTATAATAATAATAACAATAAGAATAATAATCATAATAATAAAGATTTAAAATAAATGGTGAAGAAATATTTTGCTGCAAAGGGAGTGCTTTTTTTAAAAAACTGAGGTATTCTAGTGATGTTGCAATGGAAATATCAAATACCACAATCAGAAAGTCTGTGTGTACAATAAAATGTTTGTTGAAATAATAGGTAATATTCATGAGGTAATATTCATTGTTGTTTTAAAATGCCCAGTTAGATGTACTAGTACCAGACTGCAGAGTATTGGCAAACATATATTTTATTTTGAATTTAACACCACACCCATCCTATCGCCATTAATTTCTCTAACAAATACCACTGGTAAACAAGGGTGTTTGTTGTGAATATGTTTATTTTTACATGTAAGTGGATTGTAACCTTGAATTTCTGTTATATTTAGCTTTGAGTTTGTGAAGAGCATTGGTTCAAATATTTTACCCATAAAACTACAGGAAGGCCAAGAGCTTAATGCCAAAGTACTAAAGCATATTTCAGGAACAAGTCCAATCTATGTCAGAGTATGGGTAATTTTGTAAATTTTTTGAACGGTTTCGCTAAAAGCCCACGATTGATTGTCCTGAATATTGACTAAGCGCAATTTGTCTTGGAAAATTGTGAAATACGGCATTCTGTCCGAGGTCTGTATGATAAATAGTACTGTTTCACCTCAGATGTGATGTATAAAGAGTGTAAAAGGTTGGTTTACACACCCGCAGATTTGTTGGCAAGAATTTGTAAAGTAAACCTGTCAAACGCAAAGAATTTCCGAGGCCTAATCTACTGTGATCAAGAGCCATTATGGCTCTTGAACGTGATCGAAGATGTTTGCTATTTTTTGGGTGTACATATAGGCTATCAACTCCATGTAAGATATTTCACTCTAAAATAACTTAGCCTTTCTCTCAAAAGTCACATGAATGTGCCCTTAACTTAACTGATTTGTGGATTAGAAGTCTATATGTTAGCAATCCTCTCAGGCAAGGCTGGTGTTGTCACACGAAGCTTCTCGAAGCGTAACCTGGATCCAGCTGGCTGATAGCGCCTGATCGCAGTTACTCTAGCGTTGCGTGATGGTGCAACAAACGGATGCGTTGGAGAGCTTTGCTAGTACAGTACCATTGTACACAAACCTTCAACTGTTTAGGCTTGGGGTGTTAATATCAATGCACTGTAGCTTAAAACTCGAACAAAACGTAAACTTTTCGCCATGCCCATTTTAAAGCGAGAAAATGGTTTATGAAATTAGTCTAATTATGTGTTGTTAGATAGATGGTGGCCTTAAAAATCTTAAAATTTTTAACCTCTGTTCACGGCGTCTGGTTTTCTGCGGAAATGATAAATGCCTAATAAGCGGAAGGAAACGCGAAAGAAAAGAGAATGGTCAACCTCTCTCAGTCTAAAATGAACAAGAAAACTACATCAGTCTTAATTTCGTTTAGTTATTCAGACGATATCCCATGAAACCATCCGTTACTTTGTGAATACTAATTAACACCGTCGCAATGAGAATTCTTACACAGCTAGCAAGTAAATCTTTGATTTGTACAGTACTTACCCCCGCATTGTGTTGACAAAAGAAGCTTTTCCTACTCCACATTCCCCAACGAGTGCTATTTTGGTGACGCCTCGCCGAGCATCCGTGTTTCTGCGAAAGGATTCTTCCCGATCTTCTTCGACATAACCAAAGAGTTGCTGGCTAAGGCGCCTCAACATGACGAAAACGGAAATTTACGATTGCCTAAAGGAGATGAAATCTCATATGAGGTTTATCTCTCGTGGAAAGAAGTCAACTGATATCTATCTTGTAAAGCCATACTGAAACCCTAAGCTACCTCATCTCAGTAGCCTGCGTGTGTTATATACGGCTGGACTTACTGTATCGCACCTGCGGTTATTGTTTCTTGTAGTTGTAGTCTTAACCAATCATAATAAACCACGCTGGTTGACTTGTGATCCAACATGGCGTGCATGTGGTGAATACATAACGGCCTGTGTACAGCCACCCCCTCCCCATCAGTTTTCAGATTTTTTACTGAGGGTAGGGGGTGACCGTAAATAGGCCTCACAGGTTGGTTGACGTACGCGCTCGATTGCCACCCGTTTTGTGTCCTGGAATCTGAAGGTTATTTCTACTACAGGAGGTCCTTGTAATGCATGGCAGTCGTCTTTCAAAAGAACGCATCTCAGGCGTAATTCGTTCAGTGGTGGAATGCATACGTCTCGACAGTTCGTTTTGGCAGTGTGTTTTGGTAACATGCCGTGAGACACCAAATCATACAGATTATTGGACGCGTTTTAAAAGGGAAATCGCAAGTCTGCCAAGTTTCAGTGAGAAATATCTTGCAAGAAGAATATTAAATATGTAAAACAAGGCGAAAGTTTTGAATTTTAATAATTATTGTTGTTATCAAATGCAAATTTATTACGTAGTATTTTTTGTCTAATCATTCTATATGGGTTTTTTGAAAGGAAATTTAAAAATTTCCTTCGTCGTTATTGTAAATTTCTGAATTGTTGTTTACATTATGTAGCCTGACGTATACCGTAGGTTTAAAGGGACTGGTTCACGATAATGCGCATGCGCGCCGATTGTCTGTTCAGAATAAATTTGTCGGGTCAACACGAAATTCGAAGTTGCCATTACCGGTACAATCATTGAAAATCCTTCGTTTTATTCGGACATCCGTCGCTTTAGCTGGTCTAGTTATACTTCGGTAAAGGTGATTAACGTGTGGTTGTGTCGTTTGACTGGTTACGTTTTAAGAAGACGCAAAAAATAATGTTTTGATCATGGAGGTTCAGAAGAGCATCGTGGCCGTCCGGCAACAGGACGTTCCCAAGAGTCTCTGGAGATAGAGAAGCTTAGCCTATCGATCTGGTATGGTTGTAGGAGTAGTGTGTGGCATACTAAAAGAATACACGACACTTGGAAAGTGGTTAAAGCTAGGCATGAGTTCGTTCAACGTTGATTTGATTTTTGATTCCGACCTGTAGTTATACCGCAACAGGCCGCGAGATCTTCATCGATCTGGTACACTTGAAATGTTCCTTGTATCTTTGCTTTACGATCATATATGTTTAAGAATTGATGTTTTTAAAATAAATTATTGCCTGAATATTTTGTTCATAATCTGGTTTCTTTATGTGTGCTACTCGATAACATTTGTTTTACGGAACACTGACCCGATGCAACGCGAATGAATTTGTTCATTTGCTGATAAGCAATTGAAATTTATGCTCAGTTAAGGATAATCTTTATACTCATACGTTGTGTGTTTTTGTCACCGGTCAGGCGCTATTTGTAGGTATTTTGGGTTTATATAAGGCAAACTGGGAGAACAGTAATAAGATGTTTGTTTACAAATTTTGTTTGCCGATCGGTGACTCTTTTGTTATCGTGGGTACGACCTCGTAAAAATACACGTTGGTAAAGGTTTGTTTCAAAGCAGGACAGGGCTGTAAATCTTATTCTTATCGGCTGCAACATATATCTGAGGAGTAGCAAAGAATAAACTTGAATTATGGGGATAAATAAAATCAAACCAAATGCCCGGAAATACTCTCGCGTCGCGAACAATTAATTTGAATTTTGTAAATTTACTTGCATGCATCTAACTCGCTTCCGATTGGTTGAAAAACAATCAGCTACTGTCAGGACTCACACATGTGCATTATCGTGAACCAGTCCCTTTAAAACTACTCCGATTGTTACGAAAAATTGTATTGCGTGACTAGCGTGACTTTCTAGAAGCTTCGCGAGAGTTCGTAGTTTGTTTATTTTAGGATCTTGCGTAAGTGTCCCTAAAGCGGTATATTTTGTAATCTTTCTATAATTAGACTATTTAGAAAGTTCTAGAATCTTATTGTAAACGTATATAAGTAGGCGAGCCCGAGTTAAGTTTTAACTAGTTTTCACAAGCGAAGAGTGTTTGACGTTCGTCGTGTTTAGTCAAGTGTGACGAAAGCAGTGTTTATTCAAGTTGGCGGAGGCCGTGTAAGTTTATCAAGTTAATTGAAGTTGGCAGAGGCCGTGTAAGTTTAACGAGTTACGTGCTGTTGTGGAGTTTTACTTCGTGGAAACTACGTTCACTTTGGAATAAATCTTCTTGTTGCTGTTCCGAAAACCCTGCGTTCAGTTTAGTTTGCAAGCTACCCGTCCTCTAAAAGATTACCCGCGTAACACCGATAAATTCAGCGTGTTATTTACCAACTGAAAATGATCAACGGATGTCCGTCAAAATGATTGTAACTTGTGTCGCGGCGTTCTTTCGAATCTCCTTTGTGCCAATGAATTTTACCGACGCAACTATAAGTACCGTATATTCTCGAACAATAGCCGGGGGCGATTATTTTTTCCTTCGCACCAAAAGAGGGCGATTATTCGATGGAAGGTGATTATTCGAGGGAGGCG